ATACAAAAAAACAAAATTTAACAAAAGTTTTTTTGTTAATAACTTTTAACAAAAAAAAAAAAAGAGATTCTTGACCGCGCTAGAGTGCGGACGTGTTTTGCTTCTGCTCTTGCTATTTGGTTTGTTAGTGGTTTTAACATGGACTCTTGCGGAAAGTGTGGCAAATCATTTACGCGAAATGATACCTTGATTGTGCCGTGCAGTGGTTTTTGTCAAAAACAATTTCACCGTACTTGCTGTGTGGGCCAAATATCAGAATATGATGTCAGACTATTTAACCAGAATAAGCATATCTGCTATCTTTGCCCAGAGTGTTTGTTATTGCCTGCAAAATTAACAAGGTCTTTGGATTCTTTCATGGCTACGCATAAAAATGGCTTAGACTCTATCGTAACCACAATAATGGACCAATTTGGTGACATTCATAAAGAAATTGCTTTAATAAATCATAAAAACTGTGAACACAACAAAAATGTTTCATCATGTTTAAAAACTTTATGTACAGAATTCGGTGCCCTAAAGGATGTTGTTGCTAATTCTAAATCAACTGCTAAGGTGAACAACAACAAGAATAAGTTAAACGGTTTTCCTGACCTACGAAGAGCGAAGTCACCAACCTCGGCTATGGAGAGATCTGAGAGTTCTGCGATTGTTAACAATGCACTTTCTCTTACTTCAGCGGAGGTGGATAATAATATTTCTTCAGATGCTTTGCCGTCGGCTTCTCAACAAATGCGATCTGCATTATCAGCTAATATGATAACTGCACATAATGCTTCTTCATCTTCTCCTGCTGACGTGAATAATGTCATTTCTGTCGCTTCGTCATCAGCTTCTAAACAGATGCCGACTGCGTTATCAACTGCTTTGCCGTCGGCTTCTCAACAAATGCGAACTGCATTATCAGCTAATATGATAACAGCAAACAATGTTTCTTCATCTTCTTCCGCTGACGTGAATAATGTCACTTCTGTCGCTTGGTCATCAGCTTCTAAACAGATGCTGACTGCGTTATCAACTGCATTGGCTACTGTTACTAATACATCTTCACCTTCCACTGCTGTTATCAATGCTACTCCCAATGCTTTGCCCTCTGCATCAAAACAACTGCAAACTGTTTCGTCAGATATATTAAATGCATCTACCCAGCCGCAACTCGGTGCTGATTGGATCACTGTTCCGCGAAAGAAAGTGCCCAAGCGGAAAAATATCGTGGTTGGCCGTAATGAAAATAATGATCTGGGAGTATTTTCGCCTCTTAAGTGGCTCCATTTATCATCGTTCAAGCCAACGGTTTCGGAAGTCGATATTATTAATTACGTGTCGAAGCAAGTCATCGTTGATAAGCAACAAATTGCCTGCTATAAATTGGTAAAGAAGGATACAAATGAGACATCACTAAAATATATCAACTTCAAATTGGGAGTTCCTCAAGATGTATATTTTAATTTGCTGAAGCCAGAAATCTGGCCAACAAATGTTAATATTCGACAGTTCCGTTTTTTTTCAAAAACAAGGAGGGCAACCTCCTCCAAGTTAGTTGTTCCTCCTACGCATAATAATCCATTAAAAATCTATTTTCAAAATATCTCTGGCATGAGAACCAAAGTAAATGATGTTTATCTTGCTACAACTCATACGGATTTCGATGTTATTGTCTTAGTCGAGACATGGCTTAACGGGAATTTTTGCAATGAGGAGTTCTTCGACCGAAATTTGTTTTCAGTCTTTCGCAAGGATAGAGACAGTACAGCGACAGATACCACTCGTGGGGGCGGTGTTCTCATTGCTGTAAAAATTGGTATTGGCGCCGCAGTCGTCACCCTAAAAAATGCTGACTCTCAACTCGACCAGCTATGTGTATCTATTGATGGTGATGGTGCGAAACTATACATCTGCGTATCCTATATACCTCCTAACAGCTCAGAGAAATTATATAGTGACCATGTAGATAATATTTTAGATTTATCATCATTTTCAAATAAGGAAGCCCAATTGTGTCTACTTGGTGACTATAATCTCAGCAAAATTATGTGGTCATGCCTTCCGGATGATACTGTGCTCATTCCTAGTAATGTAAATTGCCCTAGTGAAATTTATTTAATAGACGGTTTCTATAGCTTACAATTAAGACAAATCAATCACTTTGAAAATGAGCTTAATAGGATTTTAGATCTTGTATTTATCTCATACGACCTTAGGTTTAAGCTATCCAGGTCAGATTGTCCAATATCTCCAACTGATAAGCATCATATCCCACTCATACTGGAGCTTGAGTTTTATGAGTATTCTGCCTGCCCACAAGAAACTCCCTTGTGGTCGAATTTTAATTATTCACGTTGCGACTTTGAGCATATAAATAACCTAATTTCTGGCGTGGATTGGGAAATCTTATTCTCGGAGTGTAGTCTCCCGGATTGTTTTGTTAAATTCATATCTCAACTTGAACGAATTACTAGGGAAAACATCCCAACATTCTCCAACCGTGTTCATAAACTACCGTGGTATAATAGGAGGCTAAAAAAATTAAAGAATTTACGAAATAAATTTTATATACTTTTTAAAAATAGTGGTAGTATGCAGCATAAAGTGTTGTTTGAGAAATATAAGGCTGATTTCAATTGTTTAAACAAGTTTTTATATAACAAATACCTAATGGGTTTCGAAAATAACATCAAAACTAATCCAAAAGCTTTTTGGTCCTTTATCAACTCCAAGCGTACTTCATCGGCATTTCCAATTTCCATGCATTACGAAGGGAAGCAGTCATCCTCAATGAATGACACAGCAAATTTGTTTGCTGATTTTTTCAAATCAAATTTTGTAACTGATTATTCTTCGAGTGGTGAGGCTACCTACAATAATAGTCCTGCATCGTTAGATTTCGGATCTTTGATGTTATCGGAAGATGATATTTTTTACGGTATAAGAAGCTTAAAGACCTCCAAACTAGTGGATGTTCATCAAATCTCGTCTTATTTTCTTAAGCAATGCATCGCATCTATTTCCGAGCCATTGCTTCTCTTATTTAACTTATCACTAGCGTCAGGTCATTTTTTGGATGATTGGAAAATCACCTCTGTGTCTCCTATTTTTAAAACAGGTGACAAAAGTGACATTTCGAATTATCGGCCTATTTCTAAGCTTCCTAATATTGCGAAATTATTTGAAAAAATTGTTAGTAGTAAACTTTCATTTGCCATTAAACAATCAATATCCCCCTCTCAACATGGGTTTGTACCAGGGCGCTCTACCGTGACTAACCTAGCCGTTTTTTCAAATTATTGTATATCAGCGTTTGTGGGTGGCTACCAGGTTGATACCATATACACTGATATATCTAAAGCTTTTGATCGCGTGTCACATAATTTACTCCTGCAAAAGTTAAAACATTTGGGTATTCACTCAAGCTTTCTGTCCTGGATAAAGTCTTATCTTTGCAATAGAGTAAATAAAGTTGTTGTCGATGGGATTAGCTCCTCCCCTTTTACTGCGACCTCGGGAGTTCCGCAAGGAAGTATTTTGGGTCCTTTGTTCTTTGTTCTCTTTATGAATGATTCCAGTGTTTGTTTTAAACATTGTGAATACCTGTTATACGCTGATGACCTGAAGGTCTTTAAAAAAATTGAAAATGCCTCTGATATTGGTGTTCTTCAAGCCGAGCTTAATAATTTTTGTGAGTGGTGTTGTCGTAATAAATTAACACTTAATACAAATAAATGTTTTTCTGTAACTTATTGCAAGTCTCGTTCCCCCTTACTATCGTCTTACTCTATTTCAAATGTTGTCCTGAAGTTGAGTACCAAAATTAAGGATCTAGGTGTCGTGTTTGATTCAGCGTTCTCATTTGTCGAACATATCAATTATATTATTCCCAAAGCGTTCTCGTCATTAGCTTTCATTAAGCGAAATAGTGCCCATTTCAAGGACCCCTATACAAGAAAGCTTTTATATAATGCGTTTGTCAGGTCCAAACTGGAATATGCCTCTATAATATGGAATCCTTCTTACGAAGTTCACCATAATAGGATTGAGCGCGTACAAAAATGTTTTTTAAAATTTGGTTTGGCTCAAATTAGGTTTGATAATCCTACTCCACCATATATATCTCGCTGCAAGTTGATTAGCTTGCAAACTCTACGTAGTAGGCGGACTATTTCGGGTCTGTTGTTTTTGCATGATATTCTGAGTGGGGAAATTGACTGCCCCTCCCTATTAGATCGCATTAAACTCAATGCTCCAATGAGGATGCTACGCCAACTTGATATGTTTTCGATTGACCTATGTAAGACTAATTATGCTCTAAATGAACCAATTATAAGGATAATGAGTGATTTTAATGCTTTATGCAAAGTGTACAATGTTAACATTTTTGCCAATAGGATAGAATTTAAGACAACCTTGTGTACATGTTATTCTTAATGTTACAGTTTATTAATGTTTTTTTTTGTTATTATAGTCTGTAAGATTATACTAATCATAGACTCCAATAAATAAATAAATAAATAAATAAATAAATAAAAGGTTAATATTAACCTTCCGCCCCCGGATTGTTAATACGGGACCAAAACGCGTCGATTGATACCCCTCTCGACATTTCCGGACCTTTTTCCGAAGTTGTTACCCTAAACTAGAGAATTACCATAATGACAAATATTTCTTTCGGATTTTTGTTGGGACTGTATACTAAGCTTAGAGCGAACGAGAGTCAACATTTCTCATGGTCCGATTATGCACACTTCACATAACTTCGCATAAACTTCAGACTGCAATTTCGTATGTACTTCGCACGTATTTTGTTTATATTCCATTACCCAGAAATTAGCAGAATATTCAAAAACTTAGAAATCTGTTGAGTTTAGATTTTGCTTCACGTTTTCTTAAGTTGCATTTTTATTGCACTGGTACAAAAGGTTGTGCGAAGTTATGCGAAGTATGCATAATCAGACCTTCAGTTGAGAATATTTAAATTATTATCTCAAAAGTACCATCTAGATCACCTGAAGGGCATGTTTAGCACCGAAAACGAAGTCTCTGATCGTAAAATCTTTTTCGAAGTATGGGCGAATTATGAATTGGATTAAGAACCAATTTTTCAAAGTATTGATTGTAGACGGCCACAATATTTCCGGGAAGTCCATTAACCGTGGTAAACTCCGAGACCCGTCGACATGACATGACATATATGCATTGGAAAAGCAGTGAGGACTTGCCATCAACAGATTGTTATTGCATAATTCCTGAAAACATGCAATACATATAAATTGAATATTTTATTTTAAAGCTGTAAGTTACCTTAAACTTATTAACTAAAATTGGACGAAAGGGTATTAAACGCAACATAATCCTTGTAATAAGCTATTTGATAGTGATGGAAAATTATCGATGGGGCTATCGATAGTATCGATGGTTTAATTTGGCGGCACTATCGAATTTTCTAAACACTATCGATAGTTGTATGTTTAGTCACATTAGGTTATTTCCCATACAAAACGCGGGATCCCGCGGGTGCCTAATACCATGTCCCCAACGGAGCTAACCACGTAGTTATGGCTGTTGAGTTGGTTATCCCGATAACCCACTTCATTTAGCGTAGTTTCGCCATATAAAAATAACAGCACTTAACCATTTCACTGAGATGGTTAAAAGCTAACCAACTCGAAACCACGTCGAAAGTCTGATACAATCCTGTGTTTTTTCCGCCATCTGTCGGTCATTAGCTTTAAAATGAAAAAAATTCGTTCCTTACTAGTGTTTGGACTTAACTAAGACCAGAATAGATTTACTCCGGTTTTTGAAAAAATTTTAAATCTACTCCTCTACTCATATTGACTTCAAATCTATTCCGTTTTTT